GTAGGTCTGATGTGCCAAAATCTGCCTTTGGTCTTGGTAGTGGTTTGTGTAGGAAGTGTGCAGCGAGAAGAGGACTGTGGGACTAAACCCTGAGGACATAGGCTGTGGAAATAAAACTGCAAGTAAGAATGTGACCAGCGGAGAGAAGCCTAGGTCTTGCCTTAGTTAAGGAAGAGTGGTGTGAGAAGGAGGGCTCGATGTTACTTACTCTGCTAATAAAATAAGAACTAGTAGAGAGGGTCATTTGTGGAGGAACTGGGGCAGAAGCCAGGTTAAAGTGGGTTGAGAACTGGGAGGGAGGAAAGCAGTTACAGAGCCTAGTATAGACACCCTGGACGAGGCTGTCAAAGTAGGAAGTAACAGGTTAGTATTTAGAGGGAGAAGTTAGTATTTAGAGGGAGTATTTAGAGGTGTCTTCATGGCTTTAAAGCTCTTGGCCAGGCACCAGCGAAGGCCAATGATGTGTGTATGAAGGAATTGTTTGTGTGAGGTCCTTGTCCACAGATGGGGAGATTGGCCTTAGCTTGAGGGTCATGAGGGGTGTGTGGGTTGAGGGTAAAGAAGCCCTGTGCAGAGAGTGCTGTGAGCTGGCCGGGAGAGCAGAGCCTGGGTCAGAACTAGTTCAGAAATCTTGTCTAAGCTTGCCCTGTGGGGAAAGGGCCCGTCCTCCACATGGACTGCTAAGGTGCTAGTATGTGAAGAAAACTGATCCAGAGAGCTGCCCTTCTCTTGCCTTTTAACACAAACTGCCGGACTTAAAAGTAATTTTTTTCCCCCAGAATAAAAACTCACCCCTACCATGGGCACTAAAGGACACACGACCACGTTAGTTGCCTCTTACTCAAGAACACTTGTATTTTCTTTATAAAAGTGCTGTGCCTGTATATACGTATGTGTACCTCATGTGTGCCTGGTGCCAGCAGAATTCGGAGGAGAGTGTCAGATCCTTAGAGCTGGAGTTACCAATGGTTATGAGCCATGATGCATGTGGATGCTGGGAATCCAACCTGGGTCCTCCGCAAGAACAGTAAGTGCTTTTAACCATAGAGCCATCTCTCTAGACCCAAGACACATTTTATTTAAGTACATTTAACACTTCATTTTCCTTAATGGAAATTCCGCCTCTTGTTGGAACTTGGTGACTAGTTTTCCTTACGTTGTATACAACACTTTATCTTTGCTGAGTCCTGATTTTTTGACACATCCCTAAAGTCTCCCTTCCCTTTTAATAGATTCTCCAGATGTCTGTTCTTGTTATATTCCCCATCTTTCACATGTAAAAATATGAAGGGCCATTTAAAATAGGAAGTGTACAGCTTTTTCCAGGACCTTAGATCAGTACATCGACATCAGGAGCTCGCCCAAAGATGACCTAATGTATAAAACAAAGCCAGTTCCTACCCAGCTTCTGCTGCCTAACAGTTAGGTGGCAGTTACTGCTAGTTTCTGCAGCACACCAGCAGAACGTGTCAAATTCCTAAAGGAAAGCAAGACTGCATTAGAAGTTATTCGAGCAAGGACTTCTTGCCTTGCTTTCTCAGGTGGGGGAGGGTTAGGTGCGGTGCACAGGATGTGAGGAGACACAGGTGGCATGGTTAACATTCTTTGAGTTTATTATAAAATAGGAATAGTGACACCTGGAAAGAAGACATGAGAACAAGTGAGATTAGGCAGGAGTGGAGGCATCTACCTGTATCTCATCCTCTAGAGGCGGAGGCCTGAGCACCAGCGGTTCCAGTCCCAGGTGTGACTGCAGAGCAAGCTCTAGGCCAGCCTGGGCTGAGAGACTGTCTCAATTTCCCCATCCCTGAAAAAAAAAGGCAGCAGTAAAAGATGACTATATATGTGTAAAAACCTTAATAATGTATCTAGTACTTTAAAATACAGCAATATGTGCACATATATTTTTATGGGTATCTCAAGTATTTAACTGCATAACGCAGTATGCTATGTGGGTTATTTGTTAGCATTTATTGTACTTGAGTAAGCTTCTTGTTTGAACTTAGTAGTACTTATCAGGCTTTAAAAAAAATTGTTGAGACAGTGTCTCACTATTTATTCATGACTGTCCTAGAACTCAGAGGTCCAACTGCCTCTGCCTCCTGAATGCCTACTCCACACATACTCATCAGACTGCTTATAACTGCAGGCCAATCTAACTTTAATTTTGTTTGTATTTGTAGAAAACTAGGGACCAAACTTGGGTCCTCGAGCATGATGGACAAGTGCTCTACCACTGAACTGTATCATACCCAGTCCCCTTTTACTTACTAGGCTGGCCTCAAACTCCCAGAGATCCACCTGCTTCTGCCCCCAAATGCTGGGATCAAAGGAATGAGTCACCACTGCCCAGCCTCTTTTCTGGCCTTGTATTTTGCATCCCTCCCCTTTCAGCTTCCTGAAGAGCTGGGATTAGAGACCTGCACCATCATGCCTGGCTAAAACAAAGTTTTTGAAACTTGCTACTGGTTTTTAAAATGCAAGGAGAAAGAATGACAGAGGGAAGTAATGCTTACTTCAGTGTCTGCCATGTTTCCCACTGCTAGTCAGTCCCCATCACACTCACCTAAACACACGAGTGAGCGTTGCTCCACAGAGCTGCCCTGAATCTCAAATTAGCCAGGCATGGTGGCTCTACTCTTTAATCCCAGAATTTGGGGCCTTGAGGCCAGAGAACTGCTGTGAGTTCCAGGCCAGCATTAGCTATATAGTGAGCTTCAGACTAGCCTGGGCTACAAAGTGAAACCTTGACTCAAAAAAACAAACAAACAAACAAAAAAAAAAACAAAAAAAAAAAACTCAGCATTTGGAAGGCAGGTGGATCTCTGAGTTTGAAGCCAGCCAGGTCTAAATAGTGACTTCTAGAATGACTAGGGTTATGAGAATCATATTGGAGAGAGAGAGCTAGGTTTGGTGGCACATATGACCTTTAATCTCAGCATTCAGGAGGCAGAGGCAGGCAGACCTGAGTTCCAGGCCAGCCTGGTCTACAAAGTGAGTTCCAGGACAGCTACAGCTACACAGAGAAGTCCTTTCTCAAAAGACAAAACAAAAAAAAATCCAACCCAACCCCAAAACCCAAAGTGAAAAAATAAACAATAGGGTTGAAGGTATGGCCAATGTAGAGTACATATATAGACACACACACACATGTATATATGTTATTATATACATTACAGCTAATGTTGAGTTTATATATGATAACTTCTCAACTTCATATTGAGACCCAGATTGGGCAAATTTTAATATATTTATGGGGCAGCACAATAGTATATCTGAAATAAAAATTGTATTATATTAAATTAGTATTATTAATATATTATTAATAGTATAGTATTATTAGTATATCATTAATGGTGTATGGTCAAGAAGGTTTTATAGCTTATGGACTATCCTGCTATCTAGTGAAATACTATGTGTCAGCTCAAACTCTGTTTACAAACAAACAAAAAGATTAAAAGGCCAGGCAGAGGCAGGTGGATCTCTGTGAGTTCAAGGCCAGCCAGGGCTATACAGAGAAACCCTGTCTCAAACCCCCCTCCCAATCTGTAATTTACAATGTCAACACTTTCAAATGATACATTCAAGATTTTCTTACACTTAGAGGACAATTTACAAGGAGCCAATTCTACTAAGTAGGACCTGGAGATCAAATTCAGGTCATCAGGTTTGGTGGCACAGATCTTAGCCCTCTGGGCCATCTCTCCAAGCCTACTCATATTTTAAAAAGAGACTAACTTGTGGCTTGGTTTCAACCATATGATGTATTTGGAAAAAGAGAATACATTTTTATATTTTTAAAGAAAATATTAGTAGTTTACTTAAAAAATAACTCATTTCTTAGGGCATTAGGTAAGACTGCTCTCATATGCATTAGCTTAAATGGGAGTCTATCTGATATTTAAGCCAACAAGCATACTTTGTATTATCAGAAAGACAAGTTTCCCCAGAGAGGGTAGATTCTCTGATGGTCTAGATCAGCTGCCTAAGTCAACAGTCACTGAAATGACACTGCTTTGCTGTCTTTATCTCCACTGGTGGCCTATAAGCAACCACTGTCCCTATGCTGCCATTTCATCTATGGCTCACTGCCAATTTCTAACATTTTTTTCTGCCTCATATCTTTCATTAAGTCTTTTGGTTTGAAACATACTAACTTGAAATATAAACTTGTTTTCCTTTTTCTAACTTGTTTCAGATCCTGTTTTACTGAAGCAGCTTCTATAGCCTGTGCTTCTACACTTTTACCATCTTCCCCTTCCTGGCTCCAGGGAACTGAGTAACTACCTCTCTGGTTGCTGACAGGAAAGGGTATTTTGGGTCATGAAGGGTGGGATCAGGGTTAGAGTGGAGAAGTAGTTGGAGTCAGTTTCAGTGGGTGAATCACATCGTTGGTTTTTACATCCCATATGCATTACAAATTGTCATCAGGTACCTAATTAATGTGTGTGTCCAATTTTTGTGTAAATTACTGAAAACAACACCACAAAACCCTTATCAATAGCATTGTGAGGGACAGTATTTCTCTTTACACTTGGTTCCATCTTTTAAAACTCTAGTGTCTGCATTTTGAATGAAGTTTGAGAAAGGTGACTTCTTTATTTTTTAAAAATAAACTGCCTCTGTTTCATAACATCAATAGTCTGGAGATTACCATGCCATAACTGAACACATCTCTGCCAAATTAATGTAAAAGCTATAGCTACCAAAAGGAGAAACATGTCTTGAAATAATAGTTGATTTTGGTTAGTGATCAACTGTGAGTTCTAGAACCAAAGCATGTTAGAAAAAATGAGGGAATATGCCAAGGCATCATTAATCTAGAGGAGCCCATTCACCCGATCACTGAGCTGACCGACAGGTACAGCACACACTAGTGTTTGTGTTTTTAACTGCAGGTTGGATTGGGTCCAGGCCTCCAGTACAACATAGCAGGTGCTCTACCTCAAAGTTATGTTCCCAGTCCACAGCCATTTATTTGAAAGCACTCAGGAATCAGATGAAGATGAGCTGAAGTCATCTTTATTAACTATCTGCAGATAGGATAGGTTTTATATCAGAGAATGCCTTATTTTTATAATATGAAGGCCATAAGTGGAGTTAGGTCATGATCTACTTCCAGTCAGACACCTCTCACCACGGCTGGGCAACACGATTTTGGGTCTTCCTCTGTTTTCTTTATGGCATGTTTTTAGATTTCGTATGTCATTGGTTTGCCTTAGATCATCACTTCTTTTCTGGGATAAGCCAGTGAGGAAGGGAAACGAAAAGGGAATTAATTTTATACCAACAAGAAAGGAAGACTCTTATTTGACACTGTATAATGAGTTTTGTTTGTTTGTTTTTGTAAGGTTTGGTACAGAATCAAGCCGGTCTCACAGAACATACTGCTCTCCTCAGGGCTAAAGTGAACTTCCCATTCAGATAATGCAGAGGATGACATTCTTTCAAAACAACAAAGAAGCAGGCATAGTAAACGTCCTTCTACTAGCGTTTTTCCCTCGGGCACCGAGGCTGTCACACAGGGAAAGGCAGAAAGAGGAGACTTCAAACATCACAAGCATTCTTCAGGAGCTCCTTCTTCTTTTTTAGCAAGCCTGGCAATTAGATCTTTCCATTCCGCCCGCTTCTTCGTGATGTACGTCGGGGTGAGCAGCTGCAGCGGGGACTCTGGCTGCCGTCTAAAGAGGTTCTGACACAAGGCCTCGGTGTTGCATATGACGTACATCCCACAGTCATAGCTGTTTTGTTGAGCTGGCGCTTTCTCGTCCACAAAGACCAGTTTGTCTGCTTTGCTCCCTAAGAAAGCTTTCAGTTTCCCTGCAACCTGCTTTGCATGGATTGAGTTGCTTTTGCTATGGGAATCATAATGAAAGAAGCTATTTTTATCTTGTAGATAAACTAACAAACTCCAGTGGGTACCCCCAGCTGCCTGGTTGGAATTATCATTAATGGCTAAAAATACAACTTTTTTGTGGGTAAGACGCAGAGGTTCAAGAAACATGGCAATCTCTGCAGGGTTGCTGGTGCACTTAATGAACTGGGTGACCTCAGGGCTGATGAAGCACACATGGTCAGAGCAATCATGAAACTGACTATTGGCAAAGTATTCAAAAGCAAACCCAATAATATGGTCATTAAGCCAGCTTGGCGGGTCCAATAGTGAGACATCTGACTGTCTCAGTAGACTGTCCATGTAACTCAAGACCACAGGGTCCATCCTGGGTTGAGCACGGCTTCTCGGAAACTCCAGAGGCTGAAGAAGAATCAGAAGACAGCATTTATTGTGGAACACGATACTGGGTTATAAACAGCACAACTCTTACAGATTGTGGGAAATAAGACATATCATCATAAAGTTTTAAATCAAAAATTTCCACTAAAGCCAGGCAGTGGTGGTGCAGGCCTCCAATCCCAGCACTCTAAAGCAGAGGCAGGTGGATCTCTGACTTTGAGGCCAGCCTGGTTTACAGAGTAAGTTCCAGGACAGCCAGGGATACACAGAAAAACCCTGCTTTGAAAAATCAAAATAAATAAATAAAAACACAAAACAAACAAAAAACACACTAAAGAAACTTTAGCTTATGTACTAGATATTAACAATTAGAATGAAAATGAAAAATTTCAGAGACAATAGAGAATTTTAATGTTATTTTTAAATGTAGAGACGGGTTAAAATTATAGCTGATGTTTTGCCAAAATCCACAGCAGTAAACATTCTGACTCTAATGACTATGCAAAGCCAGGTGTGGTGGCACGTTGGAGGGAGAGGCAGAAGGAGCTCAGGGCCACTCTTAGCTACAGAGTAAGTCTAAGGTCTGCTGGAGCTACACAAGGCTGTCTCAATATGATAATATATGATAACAACAATTAACACGAGATCCTGCCTCAATAAGATAATGAATATGCTACCAACAAATTACTTTTAGATTAAAGATGAACTCAGAGTCTGAAGAAAAAAGTTACTAATTACCAAAGGGAAGAATTTCCATTATAATATTAATTTTAAACAGATAAAATATTTCTTCTTCCTTTCATACAATGGTGATAGCAGCAGTTAAGAGGTGTGGGGATTTCAAACACAGAAAACCATGCAACACAAAGGAAACCTGTTCCTAATTGGGCCCAGCTTTAGGCTTGAGTTATGTTCTTGCTTATTTCCTTTAAACATCAACGCCTGGGGTAAAGGCTATGTAATTCCTGTTTATAATGTCTGTGAGAAGCTCTTTGATATTCTGATAGATACTGGCATAGGAGTCTGGGTTCCTGACTTGAGCCTCAGTTTTAACACTGATTTGCTATGTCGTTCTGAATTAAATGGTTTTGGCCTTGTTTACGTTTATCTGCTGCGCGCTTGGATGTGCCTGCCATGATGCACTGGCGGCGCTCAGGGACAGCCTGCAGGGGCTGATTCTCTCCTTCCATAGTGTGGGTGCAGGGCCCTGCCCTCAGGTGGCCAGGTTGCGTCCCTATTTTGTTGGCCCGCTGTCTTGATTTTGGTCACTGGTAAAAAAAAGCATTACATAACTCAGAGCTGCAAAGAAGGCCAAATAACTTTCCTTGAAGATAATCAAAGAGTTTACTTATTTGAGACAGGCTCTCACTATATAGACCTGGCTGGTCTGGAACTCACTATGTAGACTAGGCCTACTTTGAACTCAAACAAATCCATCTGCTTCTGCCTTCTGAGTGCTGGGACTAAAAGCGTGCATCAAGGAAGCCCAGAACTTAAAGGTTAAAAAAGTTGTACACATAATATTCATGCTATCAACTAGATGACACCGTAGATACAATCAGAAAATCCAACTAGTATTACAAACCAATTATAGCAAATGAGGGCTGGAACAAAACACCCATTCACAGTCACTTGTTTAAATAACAGGCTGGTTAACTGAGAGGAAACACAGACACAGTGTCTCATGGGATTAATATGCTGTGAACAGATGAGGCTATACTAACATAACAAAAGCAAATCTGCAAGTGTAGCAGATGGTTTACTTGAGCCTACAGACTCAACTGAGGTAACTGTTAACTGCTGTGCACTGAGCTGGCCACTCAGCAGTACTTGTAAAACCACAGATCAGGAAAAGGATCACAGGAGACTGAAAGAATAAAACAAAGCTTAATATGAGAACATGGAATTATGACAGCAATCTAACCATTAGATCAATCACTTTTGTACCATTTGATTATACTACAAAGAGCCATCCAAGTTTGATAGAACCAATTCCACGTAATCAGAGCCATACAAAGCTGGGCAGTTGCGCATGCCTTTAGTCACTGTACTCAGGAGGTAGAGGTGGGCCAACCTGGTCTACAGAACCAGTTCCAGGACAGCTAAGGCTGCAACAGAGAAACCTTGTCTTGATAGTGCAAACCACACCAAGTTAAAACCACAGAAAGCGGTACACAAACACCTTTCAAGAAAAATGTTACCTGAGCACAGTGGTGCATGCCTATAATCTTGGCACTCAGGGAAGCAGAGGCAGGTAGATCTCTGAGTTTGAGGCCAGCCTAGTCTACAAAACGAGTCCAAGGCTATACAGAGAAACATTATTATTATTATTTTTTAAAGATGTTAAAGTAAAATGAGGTGATTAATGATATGTACAAGATATTTTTGTTTTTTCTTTTTGAAACAGGGTTTCTCTGTGTAGCCTTGTTTGTCCTGGCCTCACTTTGTAGACTAGACTGGCCTCAGACTCACGGCAATCATCTGCCTCTGCCTCTGAGTGCTGGGACTAAAGGTGTGCGCCACCACCCAGCTACAAGACAGTTTTATATATATACACAGCATGTGATAACCTGAACGACTTAAAAACCCGTAAAGCTGCTTATGAGAAACTACATGTAGTTTTGTATACATGGAATGCCATAAATTAAGAGATTAAAAAAACATTTTGAGACAAATTCTCAAAAGTAGCCCTGGCTGGTCTGAAACTTGCTATGTGGATCAGGGTGGCCTGAAATTTGTGGTAATCCTCCTTCATTGGCCTTCCAAGTAGAGATTAAGTTTTTACTGAAAAAGAGTAACAATGCTAGGAGAGCAGCTCAGTGGTAGTCCACAGCACAAAAGCAAGGAAACTAGAAAAAAAAAAAAAAAAAAAAAGGAGGGGGGAAGAAGAAAGAATAACTTGAGTTCAGACAAACTGGAGTCAGGAGTGAAGTTAACGAGGCATAGAGTACACTGGTTATGGGTGAGCCTCAAACTTGGCTCTAAGCTTTTTGGTAGCTAGCCAGAGAGTTAAATATTCACAATGTCCATAAGGTAACGGCATTCTTTGTTTTAAGATCTGATAGCTTTGCTGTTTGTGTTTGCGGCAGGGTGGCCTGGAACGCTATGTCGCCCACACTGGCCTCCAACACACAGCGATCCTGTCTGCATGAGCCGCCACTTCAGGCTCTGATGGTCTTTTTTTTTTTTTTTTTTTTTTCCTCAAGAGATCTTCATAAATTGTTATACCATAATTTGTGTTTTCCACACAATCTTTATGAGAGATGTACAAGTTCTAATAACACTGTTTTAAAAAAAACTGTCCCGACAACAAATGACACTGCAGTCGGTCTGTGTGGAGGCTAAGTACTTGGACTGGATAGAAAAAGACTGTATATAAAGGGGCATGGCTACACATGTGTCAAGCCAGGCTTCCTGGACACTTTTATACCAGTAGTTCTCGACCTGTGGGTTCCAACCCCTTTGGGGGTTGCTTATCAGAGATCCTGCATATCAGATACTTATATTACAACTCATAACAGTAGCAAAGTTACAGTTATGAAGTAGCATCTAAATAATTTTATGGTTGGGGGTCATCACAACAAGAGGAACTGTATGAAAGGGTTGCAGCATTAGGAAGGTTGAGAACCACTTTTTATAACATCAATAACTACAGCGTAGGGGTGAAATGTCAGGATATACAACTTGGCAAACATCTGAGCTGTCTAACTGCTAGCTAGCTTTCTACGACCCCCAGCTTAACAGCCAGTTAGGGATATAAATAAGCATGTGAGAAAAGTACTCAAATTGACACTTTGCCTCACCTTGGAGGAAGTGACTACAAGACTTCACATGGTGTTCAGTCTCTTACCAGTTACTAGCTAATCATCTTCTGACCTGTGTCTGTCTACACTCCATCTATTCCTACTTCAATCACTCAAAAGTCCCTTCAGAGTTAAAGGCTCTTTCTCTATTTACTTACTAACTTACTGATTTGTTGACCTACATGAGGTTTCCTGTAGCCTAAGCTGGCCCCAAACTTGGGCTGATCCTCCTGCCTTAGCCTCCATCATAGCCAGTGAAGCTCTGATTTTATTTCAATTGCTTTTGCGGGCTGGGGACTAGCTCAACGGCAGAGTGTTTGCCTAGTATGTTCACAGCCCTGCATCTCATCTCCAGCACCAGAAAACAGGGCAAGCTTTTGTGTTTCATCTGAGTTTTAAAGCTCTAGTATGGAGGTGGAGAGCTAAGAGCACTGGCTGCTCTATCAGAGGTCTGCAGTGCAGGTCCCACATACATACTGGGCCGCTCACAAGTGTCTCCAAGTCTAAGGGGTCTGACGCTCATTTCTCTGTACCTGTGCACGTGCGCGCGCGCGCGCGCGCGCGCACACACACACACACACACACAAATTAAAAGAAATCAAGAATGTAGACCAAAGATTGATTTGATTTCAGACAGCATGACGATAAACAGTTTGACTCCCTAAATTCTAATGAAAATAGAACTAAACCTAGGCTTAGGTCAAACTACCCTTGCCAAGAAAAGAACTCTAAATCTTCAACCTAAACACTTACAGATTTGGTTATGTAATTTATCAGCTGCGTAACCATAAGGAAATTACTTTTATTAAATCACAATTTCTTCTTCCGTAAAGTAGGACTATTAATATACAACTTTTTTTTATCATAGGGTATTTGTCAGTATAAAATGAAATATCAGCAAGATAAGAAATTATAATAAGGTATTCCTAGATATCTATTACATCATCAAAATTTTTATATTCAGAGGAGAAGAAGATATTTCAAAAATAACATTTGAAAATAGTTCGATGCTTACAAGTATTAGAAGGTTAGGTCTAGCCAGGTCTCATGCCCTTAATCCTAGTACTTGGGAGGCAGAGGCAGGCTAATCTCTGAATTCCAGGCCAGGCTGGCCTGCAGAATGAGTTCAAGAAACCCTGCCTAGAAATTCCAAAAACCAAAAACCGAAAACAAAAAAAAAAAAAAAAAAAAAAAAACAACTCAAGTTTTGTTTGTTTCCATTTCCCCTAGTTAGACATTTTCTCTTAAAGGAAGCTTAAATCATTGGAGATTTGTATAAGGTGTTTTGTTAAAAAAAAAAAAAAAATATTACCAAGTTATATAACTCTCAAATACAAAGATTAGATTTTATTCATTCATATATTTTCAATGTTTTACAAACTGGAGAGATTTAATAAGTGAATATTTTACCTTAGTAAAATAGAGAAATCTATTTTGAAAATTTCTTAGGAACACAAAATTGTCACAAAGCAATTTTTTTCCAACACATGGTTTCTCTGTGTAGCTCTGCCTGTCCTAGAACTTACTCAGTAGACCAGGCCTCAAACTCAGAGATCCGCCTGCCTCTGCCTCCTGAGTGCTGGGATCACAGGCCTGTGCCACCATACCTGGCCTCACTCTCATTTAAGAACATTTAAAGCTGGGATTAAAGTCAGACTTTAATCCCAGCACTTGGGAGGCAGAGGAAGGCGGGTCTTTGTGAGTTTGAGGCCAGCCTGGTCTACAGCATGAGTCTAGGACAGCCAGGGCTACACAGAGAAACCCTGTCTCAAACAACAAAAACAAACAGAAGAACATTTAAAATTACATTTACTATTTAGTGTGTGTTTGGGGACATGCATGTCATGGCATGCATGTGGAAGTCAGAGGAAGACAACTTTTGGGAGTTGGTTTCTTCTTTCCACCAAGTGAGACTTGGAGATTAAAATCAATCAGGCTTGGAGGCAAGTACTTTTATCTGCTGAGCTGTCTTGCCTGCCACTTGGTTATGCTTTGGACCAGAGATGCAGACCAGATGATCCTTTGGAACTTATTCTAACACTAAGGCTCTCCTCTCACTGTTTTATAAGTAAAAATAGCTATCAATGGCTAGCATAGCATGGGCAGTCAGGCCTGGTGGTCTAGACCTATAATCTCTCATGCATGGAAGCTGGGGCAAGAGGTAAATTAGAGCTGCCTGGATTACAGAGAAAGTTCAAGGTAAGCTTAGACTGTTTAGTAATTTAAATAAATTTTATATAGCTATTTCATGTAGCTATAGGCTTCTTGGAATATGAAAATTTAATGCAAGAACAAGTACATTTAAGATAGTAACATTAAGTGGGAAGACTTTTTTGTGTGGTATATATGAGTGTTCGTATGTGTATACATATGTGTGTGTGTGTGTGTGTGTGTGTGTGTGTGTAGGTAGAGGGCAGAGGTCAATGTTGGGTGTTTTCCTTAATCGCTTGCCACCTATTTTTGAGACAGGCTCTCTCACTGAACCTCTCACTGACTTGGCTAGACTGGCTGGCTAGCAAGAACTAGACATCCTCTTGACTTTTTACCAAGCGCACACTACCATGCCTGCTATTTTACGTTGGTGTTGAGGATTTGAACTCAAGTATTTGTGTTTCTGTGGCAGGTGCTTTACTGAGCCATCTCCCCAGCCCAAGATGGCATTCTCAATCAGCTTGAGAATGTAAACTGGTTTGTAAGGGTGACAAAGATAAAATTGGACTTCAAAAGCCTAAATATAAATTCTGCAGCTGCTGGGTGTGGCAGCACATGCCTATAATTCTAGCACTGAGGATGCACAGGAGAATCATGAGTTCAACTCTAGCCTGGGTTCATGGTGATTTATAAGCTCCTCAAAACTTAAAAAAAGTTTCAACTGGAAAAAACCTAAACACAAAATAGTAAGTTCTGCCAGGAATGGTGGCACATGCCTTTAATCCCAGCACTCAGGAAGCAGAGGCAGGTGGATTTCTGTGAGTTTGAGGCCAGCTTGGTCTACAAAGGAAGTCCAGGACATCCAGGACTATACAGAGAAACAGCGTCTAGAAAAACCAAAACAAGCAAACAAAACAAAACAAAACAAAACCCCAAAGTTCTAAAAGCATTACTTATCTTATTTACCTTTTAATGCTGTGACCATGACCATGCAACTTACAGAAGAATGTATTTAGGGTACAGTTTCAGAGGGTGAGAGTCCAGGACCAGCATGTCAGAGAGCATGGCAGCAGGCAGGGAATCACGGGGCTGGAGCAGCAGCTGAGGGCTATTTGAGACACAACCACAAGGCAGAGAAAGAGAAAGCTAACTGGAAGTGGCATGGCCTTACACCTCCTCTATTAGGGCCACATTTCCTAACTCTTCCCAGTTTTGCCAACAGGGGACCAAGTATTCAAATATATGAGTCTCTGGGGGTCCATTCTCACTCAAACCAACACAACACTAAATAATTTGATTCTTCCTATATGAGTAAAACAAATACATAAACTCAAGACTATATAGCAGGAGAATAACAGGAATACCTGCAAAAAATGTAAGATACACATAAAAACAGCATAAACAAATCTTAAATAACAAAGGCAAGAAAATATTTGCTATATATTTAAACTATGTATCTGCAATGTCCATAAGAAAATAGTTCCTAAAAAGGAAAAAGGAAAAGACAAAAATTAACAAAACAGATCTAAGTTATTTTATTTATTTATTTATTTTTAGCTTTTTGAGGGTCTCTATGTAGCCTTGGCTGTCCTGGACTCACTTTGTAGACCAGGCTGGCCTTGAACTCACAGAGATCCAGTGGCCTCTGCTTCCCAGAGTGCTGGGATTGCAGGCGTGCGCCACTATGCCTGGCTCCAGATCTAGGTTATAAAGATAGACAAAAAATAAAATTAAGAAAACACCAGGAGGCTCTCAATTTTCTTCACTGAAGAGAAAGGGGTTAAAAATAGAGGCAAGGCAGGGTGCATGTAGTAGCCCGTAATCCCAGCACTTGGGTGGCAGGAGCAGGTGGAGCTCTGTGAGTTCTAGGACAGCCAGGGCTGTTACACAGAGACATACACAGATCTGTATTTAAATAAAAAAATTAAATTAATTAAAACAAATAAAATAAACAACCAACCAGAGGCAGAAGGGGCAGCTCTGCAGTTAAGAGCTCCTCTAGAAGAGCTGGATTCGCTTCTCCAGCACCCACAGGGCAGCTCACAGTCATCGGGACTCCAGTTTCAGGGGATCTGGCGCTCTCCTCGCCTCTGAGGCCTGCGTGCACACTGCACACAGACATGCAGGCAAAGCACCTGTACGTCGATTTTTTTAATGGGTTAGTTTCCCCATAGGGAGAAACATGAACAACACTAGTGGTCTCTAATGAGGGAAATGTGTAGGGAAACTGCGCTCCTGGAGTAATTACTGTTCTCTTAGAAAAGCAGCTTCAGCAGTAGCTAGCAAACTTTTATATACATCCTTAGACCCAGAAATTCTACACTGAAAAATTTCTCCTAGAGAAAGGTACACCAAAATAATGTAAATAAGAGAATATTTGTGGCTGAGCATAGTTCACATGCCTATAATCCCAAATTGGAGGTCAGTGTAGGGAGGCAATTTAGGAACAAAACCAAACAAAAAAGGCCAGGGACGCAGTGCATGCAGTGGTCAAGCATTTGTAAAGCAGCATAGGACATTAAATTCAATCCTAGCACACACTCACACACAAAAGATGTTATGAACTATAAAAGGCATTTTATTCACCATTTAGCATTCTGACTTCAAGAGTACAATTTATGATTGTCTTTACTTTAAACTTAGTATGTATAAAGTACTATTAAATCCTTTACTGGGGGTTAGGATTTTGTGTAGTTCATACTGTCTTTGAACTTGTAATGTGGCTTAAGATGACCTTGAACTGATGATTGTTGTACCTTTCAAGTGATAGTATTATAGTCATGTGCCATCATGCCCGTCACATTTTTTTTTTTTTTTTTTTTTTTTTTTTTGAGATAGGGTCTTTCTATGTGGTCCTGTCTTAGACTCACTGGATAACTGGGCTGGCCTTGAATTTACAGAGATTAAAGGTATGCACCACCACGCCCGGGCCATCTTTTACTGTTATTTTTGTGTAAAATTCAAAGCCTCGTAGTTAAGAGGTAACCAATTAACCAATTACTGGAGTTACACAGCACATAGTAGGGCTTTAGTAAATAGCTAATGAATAACAGAATCATGTTTTTGTGCTGAAAGGAAAATAAGGACTTTAATGGGATCTAGTCATGATACATAGAACTTTCTGCCTTAGCAATTTGTCTTTAAATGTTAATGCTTGGGAGACAGAGGCAAGAGGATTAGGAATTCAAGGTCAGCTTCAGCTACATAGTGAATTCAAGACCAGTCTGGGATTCCTGAGACCCTGTCTCAAAAACTGAAACCAACAAAAAACCCAAAAAACACCCCAAACAAACAAACAAACAAACAAACCAGAAAACCTACCAACCAGCCACTTACACAATACTGGAGCAAGTAGGGCCAAGTGTATTAAATAGGGCTAAATATTTTGAGTCATTTAATTATATTGTTAATGTAAACTTAAAAATTGTTACAAAAATACTTGTGAGAGGCCAGGTATTGGTGACACATGCCTTTGATCCTGGCATTTGGGAGGCTGAGGCAGGCAGATCTCTGTGAGTTGAAGCCCAGCTTGGTGTAGAGTGAGTTGGACTGCCAGGGCTGTTACACACAGAAATCCTGTCTCAAAACAAACAAACAAACAAAAACAAAACAAATTTGTGAGAAAGGAGCTAAGGCTAAAAATTCCCAAGCCTGTTTCGGAGGAACTGAGTTTATCAGACCTCTCTGAAAGGGTTTTATTTCATTGGCCATCAGAGAAGATTTTTGAACCTATAATACAGATTCTCAAGATAATAGCTATAATTGAGACAAATGAAGGTTTCTTGATGTCCAGAGTATGATATAGTATCTTTCTAACAGATAATTATGGAAGAGGTAGTAATTTAATTGGAAGTTAGAGAAAGGACCTTAAGGAGATTTTCTGTAAGTAATAAAATTTGTAAAAAAGCTTCACTAGTGGTGCTGAGAAGATGGCTCAGAGGTTAAGAGCACTTGCTGCTCTTCCAAAGGACCTGGGTTCAATTCCCAGCACCCACATGACAGTTCACAACTGTCTATAAACTCCAGTTCCAGGGAATCTTACTCTCTCACACAGACATACATGTGGGCAAAACACCAATGCACATAAAATAAAAACAAATAAACTTAAAACAAAAGCTTCACTAGCTTTTAGTGTTATTTCTGATATCAGTCTTGTTCCCATCCCCCACCTCACAAAGGGGACAAAGACCAGAACCTCACACTCTACAGAGCTTGAGGTTTCAGTCTGTTCTGGACAGAAAGTCAGTTTAGGCTAGTTATGCTAAAGAAGATGGCCTCTCATAGAGCCTAGCTCTGGAAGTTAAGGAACTTCCCTCATTCTGATTAGTCATACTGAAATGCTACATTCATATTTTGACTATAATAAGTACATAATTCGGGTACTAACTGGGATTTGAGCAGCAGGCTGGTACACTGACTGGTGTCTGAAATAGGTTATCTGGGCTTTGAGGATCTTTTTGTTAGTTTTACTCATTTTAGGGGTTGAAAGGATTGGCAAGAAGAGAAGTGGCTTCTCATCTTAGTACTAACTAGGTCTGACCCTGCTTCGTTTCTGAAATCAGATGAGATATGGTTCGTGTAGGATAGGATGGCTGCACACAAGAAACAGGTTCATTTTCAAGTCCAAAATGAATAACACATACATATAGAGACGCAATCTGATCAAGAAGCCATTATTGATATCTTTGAGCATGTGGTTAGGTGATTGCTTTAGAGCGACACCAGCAATAGTGGAGAATTAGTGATACTAAAGACTGGGCTTTCCTCTTAGCCACATAAAATATGAGTTGATCCATACTGGAGATGTACTTTTTTCTAATACAGGTTTGTTTTGTTTCTTTCCTTCCTTTCATCTTCCTATTTGTTTTGTTGTGGTGGTGGTAGTGGTTGTTCTTTTTGTTTATTTGTTTGAGACAGAGCATCATTATGTAGCCTAGGCCAGCTGTACGCTCTCTGGAATCCTTCAGTTTTACCCTCAAGTGCTGGTAATACGGATGACATTCAATACCCTATTGAGCCTCAAGTGTTAATTTTTCAAAATTAGTTTATTATCTAGTCATTTCATTTCTACCCCTTTTGAAACTGGGGGATTCATAAATCAGGATGTGATTAAAATTTAAGGGTTCTAAGAGCTTGGCCTGGGCGGGGAGGATGTGCCTTTATTTTCAATTCATCCTGGCTCAAATTTAGCATTTTCCTCAATAATTGTAGACAATCATTGTATTAATAGTCTGTTTTTGTCAGTAGAAATCCAGCATTCTCACACATTAAAGAAGTTGCAGGCATCTTGATCTAGCTTATCCTCTCACTCCTTTGACATTATGTAATTAGGCCTGTGGCCAGGTGAAGTTAACGCAGAAAGAAGCACATCTGGAACTACGCTGCATATTTTAAGGCGTTTAAGTACTTAATATTGGTTTCTCAGGTCTATGCATTTTAATGTATACATTTAAGTGAATTTTCAGAGAGCAGGTTGACAGACCAAACTGCCAAAAAGATCCAGACTGTAAGAGGTTAAGAGATTTTTGCCATTTATATTTATAAATTGCTTAAAGTAGATAAGTCCTATAACATGGAATTCAAGGCTCCTCATAATATGTTCACACATTTTATCATCTTCATCTTTCCCCCACCCCTACTCTTCATACCATGCTCTAGCCTTATCAGATAACATTCTTATCTGGAGGCAGATAGACAGGTTTTTTTGGATTAACCTTAATTAATATACAGCATCCATGCTTTCGTGGTGTTTACCTCATACAGCTCTTTTCTGACTGCCAAGTGAATTATTCTTTGCTTAAAACTCTGTTTTCCTCAATATTGTGTGGCTTTAAGAGGGCTGTTTTAAACATCTTTATATCTGGTTCGTATATTAATAAATGAGCAAGACACTTAGAATTGTCAAGTGTACAGGAATGCCTAGTGGGAGTGGATGGATGTTGGGTACAGAATCTCATAATCGGCTCATCTGTTTTTCAGGGGGAATAAAAATGTGGATGGTTCTTGAGCTCTGAGACTGGACATACAGCTTATAAAATCTGGTTACCAGGAAGAAGAAGGGTCTGTAACTGAGGCGGATTTGATTAGAATTGGGGATGGGAAGCAGAACCTGTGGCCCATACAGACAGGATCTGAAAATGTAAGGTCTGTCTAAACTACAGAACAAATTCAAGGTGTGCTTCGGCAACTTGGTGAGGCCCTGTTGCAAAACCCAGGAGAAACAGCAAAAAAGCAGAAAGAGGGCTGGTGACATAGTTCAGTGGTAGAACACTGCCTAGCAAGCGTAAGGCCCTAGGCACAGAGTCCCTGCCTACACACCTCTTCTCCCACGGACGTGGGACTGTCTTGCCTGGAAAGGCAGTAGTGGCTCCCCTTCTCTCAGTTCCCAGAGCAGTTATTTCTTTCAATATCTGCTCAAGCTTCTCATTTCATCTTCAACTCTATGCTGTCAAAGGACTCAAATTTTAAGGTTGCAAAATCAACTCCCTCAATTTGTCTGTCCCAGCTCTCCTCTTTCCCTTTTGTGTAGTTTCGTGGTACTCTACACTTATCATTAGTCACCTGGTGAGCTATAGACTATTGGGAAGGGGCTGCCAATGGTACTAGTTTTACTGGAAAAAAAAAAAAAAAAGCATCCCAGGTGATTCTAATGGACAGGCTCGTGTTCTACTGCTGTTATTCTGTACCCTTCCTCACCCTTCAGTCATTCACTTTCAGGTTCCATGTCACCTTGTCACCTCCCTTTCTCCCCCACAAGCCCCCAAAGAAGGACTGACCCAGAATCCAGAGTCTAGCGCTTGTTCTACTGAGGTAAACTACTCTTTTATTTTTTGAGACAGGGTTTCACTGTGTGTCCCCCGCTAGCCTGAAACTCTATACAGGCTGGGCTGGCTTGCCTCTGCTCCCAAATGTAGGGATTAAACGCCACATCTGCCTTTTTCTTTTCTTTTTAAAATCGGTTCACACTGGCTTCCCATTTGGCGATCTAACTGCCTTGTTCTTTCAGGAGCTGGATTACTGGCCAGCCAACCCAGATAATCTGTCAATTTAAAAAAGACCCTTTGCACCTACATCTGGTTCTTCATTTCTTTCATTAGTTGTTAAGTTCTTTTTCCTTGTGACTAAGATTTTGCCAAGTACTCCAGGTTGGCCTCAAACTCGCCGCACAGGCTGCTGCTTTAAATGGAAGTCGACCTGCGTGGTTTTTAGTAGGCATATGGCAATCCTCTTGCTTTTTACTCCTCTAGGTCGCTGTCACAAGCTTTTGTACTGGCCATTCTCTACTCCCATTTTTCTCTGACCAGTTACAGCTCGCCAGGGTCCTAACACAAGTTCTCGGCAGGCCTGGAAGTCACCTGGGAAAAGTCCTCTGCCGTCACGGAGCCCTAGTTTGTCTCCAGATCACCCCGTGTCATTTCACTGTGTTTTCATTGCGGATTCTTTGTTCCCTACACCACAGCGCTTCGAAAAGCTGAGACTATTTCATTTCCTTTTGGTATTCTGGGATTTACAGCACAGGAGAGACTCAGTGAAAAGTCTGCGGAATGAATGGAAAGAAATACTTGGGCACGGGGGCGGGACGAGGGGGGAGGGGCGTGCGTGTGTGGAGAAGGGGAGGCGCTGGGATTCCAGCCGCAGACCGGGGAGGGGGCTCAGGTGCGCTAGAGTCTCCGTGGACCGCGAAGCGCCCCGCTGCTTCCACAAACTGAGACAAACCCAAGCCGGGAGGAGGCTCCTTACCTATTCCTCAGGCCTCACCAACCCAACCAGCCTTCAGGGATCTCCGTACTGGCCGGAAAGTGAGAACTAAGATCGCAAACCCAGAGCTTGCCTCTCCGGCCTTACGACAGTTCCATCTGGTAGTAGAGAGAGAGTCTAACACGGAGTTCTCCGCACGGCCGTAAAGTGAGGAAGGGACGGGGAGGCGGGGCCACGCGGGGGCGGGGAGCGGGGCGTGTCCGCGCAAGCGCACGCAGCGCGCTCCGGCGCCGTCACGTGCGGGGGCGGGGCCGGGTGGGGCTGTCCCGGGCTGGGCAGCAGGGGGCGTGGGAGGTGAGTGCGCGCGCGCCTGCTCGGCGGCGGCCGGAGAGTCGCGCGGGGCGGGGCCGCGTGAGCGGGGGCCGGGGCGCGGAGGCAGTTGGCGGCGGCTGACGGAAAGTCCTGGCGGGACCGGGAGGGGCTGCGGCGGAGAGCTCGGAGCCACGGGCGGGAGCGGAGCGCGCGGGCGAGGCGGCCGCTGCGGCGCGTGCTCTCGGGCGGGGTGCGGCGCGGGATGTGCTGCCCAGGCCGGGCGGAGTCTCTCTGACAGGGCGGGGGATGCGCGGACGCCGCTCGCTCGGACCCTGAGGCGGCGGGCCCACCCGCGCGCAACCGTCCGACCCCCGGCGGCCTCGGCCTCTGCCGCTGCTCTCCGCCTGACCCTGGAACCCGAGGGTGGGGAGCGGCTGCCGCCGAAGAGGAAGGGGCCGCGGCGGCCACCGCGGCGCGGCCCGAGGTAAGACCCGCCCCGGCACCCGCGGCCCTGCCGCCCGGCCTGGCCCGGCCCACGGCTCCCGCTCGGCTCTGGGGCTCCCGGAGGGCTGCCCCGCCCCGCCCCGGCGGAGACGCCCCGCGAGCCGCTCTGCCCCTGAGCCTGGCCGACGCCGGAGGGCGGCCCGGACCCCCCAGGCTCTTAACCCCCTCATGCCTTTCATTGACCGGACACCGTTCTGCCCACCAGCCACCCGGGCGACTCTGTCACTGGCCCCTTCCACCTCTGCTTTAGGCTCTCTCAGGACCCTGCCTGGAGCCTCTGGACACCGTTACGTCTGAGCGGGTCCCAGTCCAGGTGCCAAGGCCACTGCTGCTTCCTAATCCATTGCGACGTCCCACATCTTCCTGGGGACCCTCTTTGCAGCTTCCTTCCAGCCGAGTTTTCTAGCTTTCTCCCCTATCCGTCCAAGCATTCAGACAGCCCCAATGTCACGATGCTCTTACCTAGTAGGTCTCTGGTCAGCCCTTCGAATCTCCGTCAGAGTTCTGGATCTTCCCCATGCTCTGGTGCAGCTTCTCTAGAAGACTTCTCCACTAGCAAACCTTGTTACCTGTTTGCTACCCAGTCGGGATCCTTTCTTTGGTCGAAAAGAAATTCCCAGGAAAACTTGAAGGGTTATTTACTCAGTCCAGCGTATTTTAAGGGGGTCAGACTGAGACCCATGTTTGGAACCTCTGGGCTGGCTGCTGAAAGGAAAAGAGAGGGAAGAGTGTGGAAGCCCAAGAGAGGGAGGGTATTCGGTCCGTTACAAGGTCGGGCAGCTTGCTCCTCATCGTGTCTCTTCAGCAGAACGAAAGAACCAGTCTAAAGCTGACATTTTGGGGCCTTTCTCTAAGGACTAAGTTGCGTTACACCAATGAAGATAACCAGTCTTCATATAGTATGTCATCTAGTCTCACCTCTTCGTAGATCTATACAGATACGTGGGTTTTAACGAGAGGAGTTTTGGATTTATTGTTTTTGAACTTGTTAGAAAAACAGGATTTGTAGCTGTTCTTAAACCCCTGAAGACTAATGTCATTTTAGTAATTTTTACTGCCTAGTACTGCTGTTTTCTCCAAGAAGCTAGTGTAATGTCATTTAGTGTTGAAGCCATTACTAACAGCTTTTTCAAAGTAGTAAAATATCGACTAAAATGTTTGTTGAAGTTGTACTCCTGAGAAGTCAAGAAGGAAATCTAATGTTAAGTGTTAAGTGTATAATTTCAATGTTTATGTAAGGGTGAGGGATAATAATATCTCTGTAGTTAGTACTTAAGTTTTTTTTTTCCATTTTGTGTGTGTGGGTGTGCATGTAATATAGGGAGAAAAATTAATTGATAGTATAGGTACTAATGACACTGTTTAGAAGTCAAAATGTTCAGAAGAATAATGTAGTAAAAAGTTTCTCTTTTTCCAGTCACTCATTTTCAATATTTCAGCTTCTGTAACTATCATGATATGGGGTCATATTTCCAGCATTTCCACACTTATATCTACTTTTTTTTTTTTTTTTTTGAGGCAGGGTTTCTCTGTGTAGCCATGGCTGTCCTGGGCTTGAATTGTGTACTAGGCTGGTCGCAAACTGCCTGGGACTACAGGTGTGAGCTACCATGCTGGTTTTCTACTTAACATTCTTCAGATACACAAAGTGCACACAAATGGTCTGTTTTCACATAATACTGCTAAGTAATAGAGGTCATTCAGCAATAGTATGCATAAATGAACCTTATTTACTGGCTATATAGTATTTCATTTTGATGGACTTGGATTATTTTCAGTCCTTTTCCAAAAATTGCTGCAAGCTTTTATTTCAAGTGTTTCAGCTGTTATATATATAAATGATTTTCACGATTTGAAAAAAATTCTGATGATTCTTTTTTGTATTGAACTTATACAGAGAAGTGTATCTAAAATAATATTCTGATTGACTCTCTGAGCTACAACTATGTTACTAGTTTTGATGGTAATTATATTTATCAGATAAATTATTGATGGATTTGAAGTTAGGGACCAAAATGTCCAGATTTGCATTTTAAAAGTTACTTTAGAGCAGATTAAAAGTAGAATAAAGCTAAAGCCAGGAATATATCAGAAGGGTGACGATGGTTCTGAATTTGGGTATTGGTAGTTAGTTGACTAGAGCTGGTAATTTGAGGGAAGCGATATAGAGAGGACCACTTTGTAGCTATCTTGCCAGTCTTTTCCCTTATGTGGGGAGCCGCATAGTGAAGATTTTTATTTTTTCATGTTAGAAGGATAGGTTTTGTTGTGACATGTTAAGTAAATGGCTATTAGGTAGCTGAATTTGTGACTGAAATTCATAACATCAGGTTCAGGGTTAGTAGTAAATTTTGAAGACAAAGATGTATAGACAAGGAAAAGATCTCAGTCAGAAACTCAATATTTGAAGCACATAAATAGATTAAATTCTTTTCAAAAGTTAGTGCCAGTAGTGAAAAATCACAATCTGATGTGCTCTTTACCGCTATTATTGCTGCTTTAAAGATTATTTTTGTTTACTAGTGTCTGTGTGTGTTTACATGCATGTGAGTACGTCGTTTGTAGAGGACAGAAGAGCTTGTCAGAACCCTCTGAAGATGCAGTTAGAGGCTGTTAGAGCAGCTGGACGTAGGTGCTGGGAATCTTAATAGGGTCCTCTACAGGAGCAGGTTGAGCTCTTAACCTCGGAAGTCTCTCTGGCGCCACTGTTGTCAGTTTATGGAACAGAGTCTCATGTTCTCAGGCTGACCTCAAAACTCATTATGTGGCCCAGGCTGTCCCTGAACTCCTTAAGTCCACCTTTGGAATGCAGGGATTGCATGAGTGTGCTGCCAAGTCTGTTTACCACAGTGCTGGAGGTTGCTTCCCGGACTTTGTGAATGCGAGGCAGACGCTTTATTGATTGAGCTGTGTCTCCAGCCCAGTTATCATTTTTGAGATAGTGTTTCCCCGTTTAGCCTATTTAGCCTTGGCTGGTCTCAAATCTTGAGCAATACTAAGTCCTCGGATTATATAGCCCACACACGGCTAATGTATGACTTTTAAACATTTTTTTTCTTCAGTTAATTTAGTGGTATGTAGTTTATGAGGAGATGGTATAGATTGTTTCATTTTGTTTTTTATTCTGATGGTGATCTTACTGCATGTACGTGGCTGTTGGTGTGTTTTGAACTCATGGGCTGAGCTACCTAATTAGGTAGGTGGAACTGCTAATGTGCATCATTACGCTCAGCTAACTTTAACATGTTAGAAAAGAAGCATAACTAAGGTAGACAATAGTAATATAAGCCTCATCTTTTCTAATCATTTGGGATTATGTAGATGTTTATTCAATCTTTAATATTTTCAAAGAGGTTCAGGAAGTTTGAGAATAAGGTTGGCTAAGAATATTGAGATTTTTAAAATTTGAATGATTGAATTTTTTAAGTATATTCACAGTTGAAAGTAGACAGACTTTTCAGATATTTGAAAACTATATCAACTTGAGTCATGCATGGTATTATAGACCTGTAATTCCGTTACTTTGGAGCTGAGGCAGGGTTGTTAGTAGTTCAAGGCAAACCTGGCTATGTAGAAAGACTGTCTCAAAAAAGAACAAACGAACCTCAAAACAACAGCAAAACACACTTTGTGACTAACAGAAGCTCATCAGTTGAATGTGTGGATTCCCATGTGTACAGAGGCTGTCTAGAACTCTTGTCTTTGCCTCTGTAAATCACTTGGTAATAGACCTCCATATTGTGTCACATTTCATAAGTACTCCAAAAATACAGAACCGTCTCTCCCTCTCTTCTCCACAAAACTAGGAACAGAGCAGACAGAAACTGCAACTCAGTTTATCTTGATTTCTTTCTTTCTTTTTTTTTTTTTTCTTGTTTTTCGAGACAGGGTTTCTCTGTAGCTTTGGCTGTCCTGTATTTCACTTTGTAGACCAGGGTGGTTTTGAATTTATAGAGATCCACCTGGCTCTGCCTCCTCAAGTTCTGAGATTATAGGCATGTGCTACCTTGCCTGGCTTTATCTTGATTTCTTTTCTTGACTAATGGCACCCTTCAGGTCCCATAAAGCTTTCAGGAACCCATGAAAATCTTCTACTCTACTCTGTCATACTACCAATATCCAGTTTGTCATTATGTATTGTACCTTTTTTATCAGAATATTTCACACCTTTCTTGTTTCTCTTCTCCTATATTCTCTTTATTTTAAGTAAACTCAGATGTCTGTTAGGCTTCTGTGATGCTTTCTGTCTTCTGCTGTTTGTTTCACCATACTTTCTTGTACATTCTTTTCACTGCTGCCAAAATAAGTGTTGTAAAATACTCTTAAGCTCTTTGAGTTGCAAGAAAGAGACTCAGGTTTCCTTAAGTAGTTGAGGAGTGCTTTTGGAAAAGGAACAAGCACATGCAGACGGGAACCCAGGAAAAATGAAACAGGGTGATGTCAAGAAGATAAGGAACCTGGTAAGTTGTAAGCAGAAGACAGATTTCACTCTAATTGATGGCCGTGCTGTGACTAGGACCCAGGACCTTGTACATGCGGAGGAATCACTGTGCTACTGAGTCACACACAAGACCTAGAATAGTTTAGTTGCTGCATTATTAGTTTTTGCATACTTTTTCCTCTTTATAGCTTCCATTTGTTGCTCATTTCTGCCTTTTGTAACTACCATATCATTACCATGCCAACACCTTGCTTCCTGGCTACTATCTTTTAAACTTCAGATCTTGAGCAAGCTCTTTTGCAGACTAGGATTTTTTTATTTGAATGCTCATGAAACAGTTTCTTTGGCTCAGTTCTTTTCTTTGCCTCCCCTCCCCTCCCCTTCCTGATGGCTGCTAGTAAGATGGAGTGACCATTGCTGGCTATTCAGTATTTATTGGTTGTGTAATATGTGTATATATTGTGCATAGGGCAGAATCATGGTTCAAAGTATAGAATAGTGTGCAGGCTAGTTCCTAAGAATGGGATTGTAAGCATGGG